CTGTTAAATCATGTTTAGCTCAAATCCGAATTAATTTATGCTTTAGTGGTTTTTTGGATACCGTATCCATACCAAGAAAAAAAAAAAAAAAAATCCCCGCAGCCTCCACTCATGGCGTCCACTCCAGGTTCAATGCGACCGCACCATAGCATGGGAATCTTACTGCCTTCCAAATACATAGGCACGCGCTAACAAGCATATTCTTCAACAAGCGCTGTCGTTTTGTTTCTCCAAAGTCGCGCATCCTGAATCCAGAGGCAGCGCGTGGACGAATGCACGTGGACCTGTCATCCCAAATTTCCATTATTAAAAAATAATAAGGAGTCCCGTGTCAGGCACGTGATGGCGCACGCTAGCAAGAACAGATAAAAACAAAACAGCTTATATTAGTGCAGCGCAGTCTCTCGCTGCTTTTCTTCCTCTTCATCACACAATTAAAATCCGTTTTGCCATCGAACTCTCTTTCTTCTTCTTCTTCTTCTTCTTCATTTCCCGAAAGCAGAATCCTTAAACCCTAGCTGAGAATCTTGGTTTTGTATTCGATTCCTGATCCATGGCGACGGCTTATGGAGCTGCAGCTACCACTGTGATAACAAATGATCCAAAGATTCGAGTGCATAGCTTCATCGGCTTCAAACCTTCGCATTCTCTCGCTTTCAACCGGAATCCTCACGTTTTTCTGGTTCCGAAATCGACCCCATCTGTTATAAGAGCTGTCTCCACGGTGAGTTTCTTTCTCTCTCTTTTTTTTTTCTTTTTTTGCTTTAGTGAGATTAGAGCATTCATCTCATTTTAATGTTTTTAGTTCAATTTTGTAGGAAGGAATACATAATTCTTTTTGATACCTTTTGTTTCCTAACAATTATATTGATTCTCTAGCATTGAGTTGAAAGGAAAAGAAATGGGTAACTTTGTTTTAGCTTAAAAATATCAGCTTTCTTAAAATAAGTCACGAACACCAGTCGTGACAGGTTCTAGTTTTAAGCTCAATTGGAAACCATTTCTTTCTGATTGATAGCTTGTGCAATCCCTTTGCAGCCGGTGAAGCCTGACACTGCAACTGAAACTAAGCGCAGTAAAGTTGAAATAATTAAAGAAGGAAGCAATTACATAAGATACCCTCTTAATGAGGAGCTGTTGACAGATGCTCCCAATATAAATGAGGCTGCCACACAACTTATCAAGTTTCATGGAAGTTATCAACAGTATAATAGGGATGAGCGTGGTGCCAGGTCGTATTCGTTTATGCTTCGGACTAAGAATCCTTGTGGAAAAGTCTCAAACAAACTTTACTTGACCATGGATGATCTTGCTGATCAGTTTGGAATTGGGACACTTCGGTTGACTACAAGACAAACATTTCAGCTCCATGGTGTTCTGAAGAAGGACCTTAAGACAGTGATGAGCAGTATTATTAGGAGCATGGGTTCAACTCTTGGTGCTTGTGGTGATCTCAACAGAAATGTTCTTGCTCCTGCAGCCCCAATTGCGAGAAAAGATTATCTCTTTGCTCAGGAAACAGCAGAAAATATTGCTGCACTTCTAACCCCTCAGTCAGGGTTCTACTATGATATGTGGGTGGATGGGGAGAGAATCATGACAGCAGAACCTCCAGAAGTAGTGAAGGCTCGCAATGATAATACTCATGGAACAAATTTCCCTGATGCACCTGAGCCCATTTATGGAACTCAGTTCTTGCCAAGGAAGTTCAAAATTGCTGTAACTGTTCCAGGAGATAACTCGGTGGATATTCTCACAAATGACATTGGTGTTGTTGTTGTTACTGATGAGAATGG